CCAGTTTTCAGTCCTTGGATTTGAATTTTCTTTTGATTTCCCGGATCTTGTAGAATAGGTCTCTTTTTGTTGTTGTCTTCTATTCCTCTGCACTGGTCTTTGTAGCAGTTTTCTTCATCTTTTTGCACTAGCCATTGTACTGTTGCATTCATGGTTCTCAGTTTGTTATTGTATGGCTTGTTTTTATGTATTGGTTTTTACATGTAAGCTGCCTTGATAGCTATGGCTAAAGGTGGGATATAAATAAACTATATTATTATTATTATTATTATTATTATTATTATTATTATTATTATTATTATTATCATCATCATCATCTATGGTAACTTTAGGTCACACCTTAACAGCATAGTGAATTCTGGCCATAGTTACTTAGGATCTTAGATGCATCCCCATCCAGAGCTTGGAAGAGTTTGTTTCTTGATCACAACTCCCAGAATCCATATCCAATCACCAGCAAGTGGTCATTTTGGAATTTTACAGGACCGACGACTAAAGAACAGTAAGAAGGAGTAAGAAGGTTGTCCTATCTATGCTTATGGTGAAGCAGGAATAAAAATCCTTTAATAACTGTGCCTACTGATAATGACTGACAATGTTTAATAAACACACAATTCAATGAATGCCATCCTGTCTCCAGGGCAGGAAGAGGACAGAGTGCTCCTTTGTCCACTTACTCATAGAGTGCTCTCTCTTGCCCTTCACCACAGAGGACTTCTTCACTTGATGGTACATGATCGGGAAGATCAACAGGTTTGGCCCAAGGAAGTGAATAGATGCATAAATATTTCTTCAAGCCATTTACTTCAGAGCAACAATTTTCAACTCTTTTATCCATAGCTGCAAGTTTTTCACAGATTTTGGCTGTGTGTGTCAGTACCTAGGTCAAAAGAAAAGGCAGTCAATGATTTTGAAAAGAAAGTAAACCAAACAGGTGTGTGCATCTATTTGCACCAATGGCGACTTCACACCTTCACTTACAAAGCGACAACATTTTCATTACCAGTGACCATCTATACCAGGAGTGTAGTTACTGGGGGTGGGTGGGATGAGACCATTGCTCCCCTCCCAAGATTTTTGCTCCATAAGTGAAATCTGTTTTCAGTCTTCGCATTTCTAGCATTGTAAGAACTCAAAACTTCAGTTCAGCAACTAGAAATAGGGTTGAGGCATCCAAAGAAAGGGAATAGGCATGGTTACCTAAGGAATACAAACACAACAAATAGAAGAATCTAGGTGTGAATGATTTGCAGGGCCTCAATCTCTGCAATACTGGAATTTTGGGCACCAAGGGAAGTATTTATTTTGAGTGGAGCACAATTTTTATTGGGGGCAACACCCTCATTTTGTCCCACTATACACACTCAGACACAGACACACCCTCTATAATTAGAATGCATTTCTTGCAAAGTCCATGGATATTTTGCTCTCTAGTATACAGTGCGCCTTTGGTATCCACTGGAGTTTGGTTCTAGGACCCGCTATGGATATGAAAATCAGTGGTCAAGTCCCATTAAATACAATAGATAATAAAATATGTCCCATATATAAAATAGCAAAATCAAGGTTTGCTTTTTGGAATTTATGTTTTTCAATATTTCCAGTCTGTGGATTCTTGAAGCCATGGATACATAATCCATGGATACAAAGGTCCAACTGCATTTTCAATTAGAATTGATCAAATCTCTTCATATTTGTAATGGAGAGATCTTGACTATATTAAAAAAAACTGAATGTGGGAGTAATAGAAACAAATGGATTCACCCCTCAAGGATGGGGGGCTTTGAGTTTTTAACCCTTCAAAGGTCTAGGTGTGAATTCTTGTTTATTCAAATATTTGTTATTGTTGTGTGCTTTCATGACACTTCTCGCAACCTGAAAGTGAAACTACCATGGCATTTTCTCAAAAGGTTTGTTCAGACTAAGTTTGGTTTTCTAAGGAGATGGCAGCAATAAAGGTAACAAAACAAACTTTTTGGCTGACACCATTGCATCCTCACAGAATAGTCAAGCAGAGCTTTCAATTGGTCATCATCATCCACAGTCACCACCATCACTGTCAATATTATATTGGAACTCTTTTGAGTTCCACTGAAGATGAACTCATTTCTTTAGAACAATTTTTGCTGTTGTTGTGCACTTTCAATTTGACTTATTACAACTCTAAGATGCACCTATCATGGGGTTTTCTTGGAAATATGTGTTCAGAGGGGGTTTGCCCATTGTCTTTGTCTGGGACTGAGAGAGTGTAACTTGTCCAAGGTCACCTAGTGGATTTCCATGGCTGAGCAGGGATTTGAACCCTGGTTGTCCAGAGCCCTAGTTTATCACTCAAACCACTACACCACACTGGCTCTCTCCTACCTCTTATTTCTTAGTTCTCAGCAGCCCCATGTCATGATCTCCAGTCAACAGTCATTGGGGGCATAAAAGTGATGACTTTTTCATGCTTTTGGCTAGGGACATTCATGGTACTCTGGTCATAAAGAATAAAGAAGGACAGTGAGCCCATAGCTGAGTGGTAGTACATTTGCTTTATCTGTATCTGGAAAAAAAGCCTCTTGCCTGAAGGCTTAGAGAGCTGTTGCCAGTCAGTGCTGAAAATATTGGGCTAGGTTGACCAAAGGGCCTGAACCAGCTTCTTATATTACTATGGCTGGTATCATTTATGTGACATATGCAAGTGTAAGTTGCTGCATGAAGGTGGAGTGAGGTTTGTGGACAATGTGCAATGGTTGTGTCCAGCTGACAGCAGTATAAGTAGAGTTCAGTATGCAGAACCTCTGCAGATGTGGTAGTATATTCATCTCACAGAAGAGCATGTGAATAATAATAATAATAATAATAATAATAATAATAATTTATATCCCACTTATTGACAAACAATCTAAGCGGCTTACAATAAAACCCATATCCCCAAACTGACCCACCCCCTTTAAAACAGTATTAAATAACACATAGTTAAGATAACAAAAAAATTTAAAGCATAAACAATATAAAACATATTACAATAAAACATATTGAAAATGGGTTACAATGCCCTGATCAACCTCTACTGTGTGTCCGATGTGCATTATGGAATGCCAACCATGCACTTTAACTATTTATCCATCTATGTTGTGCTGTGATGGTATGCAATACAGGAGTTACATAATGCAAGGGTAACATTATTCTGACCGTGGATATTTACACTGTGCTGAAGCAATGTAAGGTATATTAATGTTTTACATTATCATCCTGTTCAAGCCTAAGGTGCCCAGAGCTTCTGGGGATGCACAAGCATAGATGTAACAATGATAAGCATTGAATTCAAAGACATAGTCATGTTAGTCTGGAAAATCAGTATGCAAAGGGATCCTGTAGCACCTTTGGTACTAACTGAAAGAAAAATATTGGTAGCATGAGCTTTTGTAGACTTGAGTCTACGTAGCTCAAACCTATGAAAGCTCATGCTATCAACTTCTTTCTTTCAGTTCATTATAAGGATTGTTGTCCAAGTCATCTAATGGATGCCATTACTTTGAGAAAGGTAGAATAATGAGCAAAAGAAGAGCCTAAAAGGCAGTGTTCAATACTTTTTACTGTATGAAGTTTACCAAGTTGATGGGTGGGTGAGTGGAGAATAAGGAAATTCTTTCTAAAATTGCATATCAGAACCTCAGAGGAATAGTGGAACGTATGCCACTCCTATATGTATGTATAAGCCTATCAACATTTTCAGAGTTAGTTGAATGTAAGCTGAAATTCTACACTTAATTTATTTGGGACTGAGATTTCCTTCTGATTGAAATAAACAAGACTTCTTTCTAGGTATGTATGCATAGCTCAGAGCCAGCATGGTGTAGTGGTTTCAGTGCTGGAGTTAGAGCCTTCTCCATGACTTCCATGTGTAGTTGGAGTCTACCAAGACCTACAACTGACAATCTTGCCAGTGCTGGAATTTGGGGTCTAAGAGGGCCAAGCCATTATTGACAAGTCATATGCTGTTAATCTATTTTTTTAGCAGAATATAACAACAGCCACCAAAATGGAAATGTGTTTTGTTCTTGAACACTCACTCCCTTCTGGATGCAGTCTCCTTCCAAAGAATCACAGCACTTAGAAAGCACTTCAGCAGACTCTTCAGCTAGAGATAAGATATCTTCAAAGGAAGCATTTGGACTTCTCTGGGTAAATGTTATGAAATAGCTAGATGTGGGCAGATAAAATAAGGAAGATTTTAGACTTTACTACATCAAAGCAACTTGCCTAGTCTTTCTAAGCATCTCCTAGTGCAGATGTTGGCAACATGTGGCCCTTCAGCTCTTGTTGGGCTACAACTCCCATCAACGATCAAGTTTGCTTATGTTCACTAGAGCTATTGAGATCTGCAGTCCAACAATATCTGGAGGGCAACATGTTCAACCCTGTTCTAGTGATTGTGGCACAATAAAATGAGACATAAAAAGAATTTCTCAATTTTTGTTACTATTTGCCAACACACACAATGGCTTTAATCCAACATCCCCCCAGTGTAGCATATTTATCCTCCTGTAGACCTATGCTACGCTGAGCCATATGCCCCTTGACTTCCTGTAAACCTCCTGAAGCTTCCCCTATAGCTATTCCACACTTTGTGGCAAGCAGATAAGATCAGAGAAGCATCTGGTTACACCCCCATAGCCAGATGCAAAACGATTACTGCAGCACTGATGTCCTGGTGGATCGCAAGCTTATGTCATCCTTTTTGTCAGGATATTGGGGGCACATCTAGACACATTTGTAATACTGTCTGCTCACCTTGAAGCATGAAATGACTGTATAGAGCAGGTTCAGTGGCTTTTCAATTGGGGTGAGGGGTTGGGTCTGCAAGGGGAGGAAAGTGTAAGAGGAACTTGAACCTGTGGAATTGCTAAAAGTTCAAGTATCCAATGGGATCTTTTATCCTATGTTTACGGAAGTGGCTAGGGAGTAGACTGATAGAGACAAAGCTTTCTCAATGAATGTTGTGATTTATTTGGATATTCAAATTTACAAAGACACTCAAACATATACTCAAGTACACAAGAACTCAGGAATAAAGTAGTTAGCTTGGACAGCAAACAGAAGGCTTTCTAATGGT